TACATACGTACAGTACATCCATATATACATAACTAAATAAATAAATATTTAAATAAATAAATACATACATAACTAAATAATTAATTGATACATATGTACAGTACATCCATATATACATAACTAAATAAATAAATATTTAAATGAATAAATACATACATAACTAAATAATTATTGATACATATGTACAGTACATCCATATATACATAACTAAATAAATAAAGCATCAAGCAGTTGAACCTTTTTTTTAGTCATTAAAAGAAAAGTTCAACTACTTGGGAATGGAGTGGATTTCATACTAGTTTTCTCCAAAGAAGTTGTGCAAACAAATACAATATCTTACCTGTTGAAGATAACTGTTTGATCAACTTCAGTTTGTGTTAGATTCCAATTGAACTAATGAGCTAACGGTTAAAGCTAGCAAGGCCAACACCAAAATGATTGTTATGAAAAACATTACAGCTCCAGTTTCCTATAATTTATGGTTGCTTAGGCAAAACAGTATTTTGTTGACCCGTACACAATATTCACTTTACATAACATGGTCATTTATGCAGAAGTAGCTGATATTGTTGCATGTTAGAGCAAATAGCAGTAGCAATAAGCTGTAGCATTTATGGTACACCTTGGTACACTTTCAGTAATACACGTTTTAATGATTTGAAGATTGAATTTGTTTGAAGATTGTTAGCTTGACAATATTGTCTGAGTAGAACCACTTCCAAAGCAAACTTGCTTGATAATCTGAGTGGATTCACTTCAAAGAAATCCAGTCTAAAATTTCAGAAGGATTGGGAACAAACACTACTTTCTAAATTTTGAACTTCTTTTAATTTCACGTTACATTCTTTTTCCAGCAGTATTGTGAATAAAATTTTAGCTGCACTGGACATGTCACTGCCTGCTGCTGCTCTTTGTGTTTACAAACTATAGAATCAGATTATATAGAATTCCTTGTAAATTACTGTGTGAAAGTTAATGTGAAGTTTTATAAAATAGCTCTTGTATGAATCATTTTAATCCTTTGGAAACCAAAGCTGTTTTGAAGTTGACAGAAATCCTTAATCTTAACTGAACTGACTAGCCTTCAGCTCATCTTCTTTTCTGACTTTAACTCTATTTTTCCAAACTTTTAAGTGTATCTTTGAATATCCAGTGAACTACACTCTCCAGCTGCAAACAAACAAAATATGTTTTATGTTTTAGGAGTACAAATCATTGCAGATGAGAATAATTAAAGAAAGCAACAGTGGAATTATTTAGCTTTACCAACATAACCATTATTGTAAAACAAATAATATATACAGTATTTTTTAATAAATAGTTTATTACCTAATGACTAGATTGATATTCAAATTATGGCTAAAGTGTGCAGGGCCTCAGTAGAAAGAGGTCATTGAAATGATTGAACACCGGGAAAAGTTTCCTCTACAGCATGAGTTTACAGCAGTTTCTAATCTCCACGAACTAGTACACAGCTTAGCTCACGTAATGACCATCTGTCAGGATCACTCACTCTGCCAGGAGAGGATACGTCTCACATTGTCCCTGGCTGGAGGCAACCAGCGTTAATATGCTGCACTTCTCACGGACTCATAAACACCATGCAGGACACGGGTAAATACAGTGGTCGTTATCATTTGGAGCTTTTAAATATGATCCTAATTTAGATTTACATGCATGTTGCAAAATGTCAAGTCAAAAATGTATTTATAAAACACATTTAAAACAGCAGCTGATACCAAAGTGCTGAACAATAACATCAATGAGAGTAAAATTAATGGAAAAAACACACTAATGATAATACTGAAAAAAATATTTAAAAGCATTAAATGAAAAAACATAAGAACACAAAACAACAACAATAAAACCTCACCCTGTGTGAAATGCCAGAGAAAACAGATGAGTTTTTAGCAGAGATTTGATCTGAGGAAGGGAGGTGGCCTGCCTAATGTTGGGGTGGGGGCGTTATTCCAGAGTTTGGGGCCCTTGACTGAAAATGCCCGATCTCCTCTGAGCTTCAGTTTTGTTTTTGGAACAGCCAAAAGCAGCTGATCAGATGACCTCAGGGCCTGAGAGGGAACATAAGTTCCAGTAGCTCACTGGTGCCCATGTCTAGCTAACACTAGCTATGTTTACATGCGCAAAATTATTTGACTGGATTGAAATGTTTCAGATTAAATCATTCAAATGTATCGTTTACATGGACACAATCCATTCACGATGCATGTTTACATGGAGCGGCCTTTTATTCTGAATGCAAGTACTGACATGCGCAGAGTGGTAAACTCTCCTTAAAAAAAACACAGAAGAAGAAGTTTTACTTCCGGGATGAACGTAAACAAACCTGAGTGCCCAAAATGGACCTTGGACAGGTTTTAATGACGGTGGAGACGTTACTGCACGCCCTGACTGAGCTACAGGTAATACAGATTATTTTGAGTTCTTTCAAAGTTTCTAGTAGAAATTTTGTGTCGCTCACACAGAACAGTTTTGCTTCCCCGACATGCTGATATTATTAACATTAGCCAGGCGGAAATACGTGAGGTAGACATAGGTCGCACATGCACAGTCAGGTCAGTATTCCACGATCAGAATAAAATGATCAGATTAAGTGTTTACATGCACACCATTCGGATTATGAATCGGCATAAACCACCCCTCTCATTCTGATTACAAATTCATTCAGATCGAGCTGAATCAACAAATAATCCAAATGGGGCTTTTACATGACGGAATTTGAGTCGGAATGGCCATTTAATCTGATTACATACAGTATGTCCATGTAAACATAGCTAGTGTGTGCGAGGCAGGGGACCCCCTGGACAGGTCTCCAGTCCATCACGTGGACACATAGAGACAAACAAGACAAACAACCGTTCACTCTCTCACTCACACCTAGAGACAATTTAGAGCCACCAATCAGCCTAACATGCATGTTTTTAGTCTGTGGATGGAAACTGGAGTATCCGGAGAAAACCCACACATGCATGGAGAGAACATTCATTCAATCTTTATTTAAACAGATAAATCACATTGAGCCTCAAAGGCTCATTTACAAGTGAGACCTGTTTGGACAGACAAAAACAGTGGTTAACTGGACACATGTAGGAGTTGGAGGCAAAAAAAAAAAAATCCTATCAGACTTTTTATTCCTGCCTGAGAAAAAAAAAAAACCCTCTAATATTAAAAAAACACCTAGTACAAACAAGCACATATTTAAGTAGACAATTTGCAGACGGGGGAGACGAGAGTGGTCAGCATGTTTATAGATGCTCTCGAGGTCACTGTAAGAGTTCTGATAAGGATGTAATAATCAGTCAATGTCTTACGGTGAGATCCATAAACATTCTCGAGGGATGTCGAAGAATGGCCAAGAATAACGTCTATGAGAATCCAAGAGTCCTGAAATGATGACACAAATTTATTCAGCTGGTTTCATCTGGTTATCAGTTGGAAATTCCTCAGGGAGAGGGTGGTGAGCATCAGATCACATGTTCTCCAGGCAAATTCAGATAAGATGTCCTTCAAGGCCAGCCAAGGGAGCCAAATTCAGATAAACACACAGATGTTTTGGGGACAGGCAGAACTTAATGACATCTGTGTTGGTCCACTCAGTTCCGAAATGTCCAAATTACATGGCCACACCGAAGGAACGTGCCTGAGTAAAATCCCCAAGATCTGATCCATTCAGCCCAAAGCATTTGAGACACGAACCAAGCCATCATAAAGGCAAGCAGCGTGATCAGGTCCAAATTTGCTGCCGACGACTTCCTTGATTGTAGATAAAACCAGCAACGAGCTGAATCCAAAAAGCAGGAACCAGTTATCGTAAATCCAATTAAATATGTGTCCTTAAAATCCACAGATGGCAGCAGAGACAGACACATCATCAAGTCTTTTAGTCAATGAAATATCCAGCTGCGTGCGTGCCATCAGGACAAATCGTCTCGCCTAAAGCCTGTCTTCTCTTTGAAGAAATGTTTTAAATTGAGTTGAGGGACCAACTGATCAAAACAAGTCCATAATTATGGTTCGAAAGGAATGCAAGAGAGTCTCAGAAGCAGTTTCACAGACAGACAGAGCAGCAAAGTGGAGAGGGAAGGGAGAAGCGTCCGATCTCAGCAAGAGCAAGTGATGAAGTGATGCAAACTCGACCTAGAAAGGTCGCCAGCTGGGATTCG